CCCAAATGTACATCACATCTGTTCACTGGAAGCAAATTAGAGGCATGCTACCAACAGAGCAGGGAAAATGCTCTGGTCCTACTGGATCATTTTCCCCCCTAACTAGCTCCACCGTTGCCCAAATCCATCATCTAAGGTCACATTACTGTCACATCTGTCAGTTTTCATTGCAGCCTTGTAATAATGAATCTGATGCAGTAACAGAAAAGCAGACACAGAAGGGCATGTTGCCCAGCCAGATCATTTTCTTCTCGTTCGCCAAATCCATCATTTCGGATCCACCTCATCCAACACTTGTCGACTCCCGTAGATCTAAGAATATAATAAATCAGGTTCCTCTTCTTTCCATGGCAGTAAGGATGATCCCTTCAGATCCCCAGACACTTTCTAAAGCAATGGAAATCTATCTTGTTTCACTAGATGACAAAAATCCATGAATTGGGAGGGGGAAGGCATCTAAATGCATCACAAGAGCAGGGAAAAACAATTTATTTGGGTGGGGGGAAAGGTCTGGCTTTGGAAACAAATTGAAGATGCACTAAAAAGTACATTAAAGTGCCATTTCCTCCTAACTAGGAAAGGCAAGACTAGTCTGATTCAATGATAACTGACCGAAGGCTGTAGAACAGTTAACATGTTTTGTGATTCTTCAAAAACTATGATCACAATGCTGACTCTTTTAAAAACATTTTGCTTCTATAAGAAATATATGACGAAAGTAATAGGTATTTTAAAAAAAGATCCCTGTGTTTGTTATGAGACCTGTCTGTTTTGTCCTTTTAAATTCAAATTAGCTAAGATAAGTGAAATAATAATTGTATGCCATCAAATCAATTCTGACTTATGTTGACTCTTTTCAGTGTTTCCTAGGCAGTAGTGGTTTACGATTCCTTTCCAATGCAGGCACCCTGGGGCTATTACAGATGTCTAAAACAAAAACAAAAAAACCCACACACATATAAAATAAGAACATAAAACTATTTTATTGATATTAACAAAATATTATACATATAAAACACAAAACATTGAGCCTACAGTTATTTATCAAATTCATATTCCCAAATGCTTGAATTTTTTTAAAAAAATCTAAGTCCTTTGTAAGTGTTAGCTCTTAGGCCAGCTCTCTGACTGAACTTCTTAAAGGGTAATTCCAAGAAATGGGGGCCACTGAAGAAAAGACCCTGAAAAGATTCTTTTCTTTTGTTACATAAACAAAGGAAATCTTCAGCTAAAGCACATTATAAATCTGAACAAGTGTTTTCCAAATGATGCAGGAATCCCAACTCTCATCATTCTAGCTGTTATGGTCAATGCTAAGGAATATTAGGAACTGAAGTTTAAGATGTTACCCCCATAAAGCAGCAAAGAGTCCCCATGCATTATGAAGATCAGGAACAGGCACAGAAGTTTTAGTTCTGTTGATAGGTCTTTAGATAATTTATCATAATTGACAAGGATTTCTGACTCTCTGTTGTTCACAAATAATGGCAACAAAATGACTCCCAGTGGGATACACATCATAAATTATACTGGTTAAATAAAGAAAACTTGAGTATTTTTGTGTGGCACAACCCAGTAAGCGGCATCCAATTCTGGAGTGCAAAACAAATTCCTGGGTTCACAGATATTTCATTCTCAGTTTGAGTTGTTTGTGTCTCACTGATGGATCCCTACACGTTAGGAATGTGTACATGCATAGTAAAGTTCAGCAACTGGACACAGACCTACCATATACAGATTGTAATGGTGATTTCGAAGTTGGAGCACAGGTTTCGGATCCTGAATGATTATGTTTTATTTTGGTAACCAGATTTCAAAAATTCCTCCTCTGCTTAGAGTGGTGATTTCAAAGTTGGAGCACAGGTTTTGGATCCTGAATGATTATTTGTTTTATTTTGGTAACCAGATTTCAAAATTTCCTCCTCTGCTTAGACTTACACTTGTAGCACCACAGAAGTGGTAGATATGATGAGAGAACATCTGTCCTTCCAGATGTTGCTGAGCTGAAACTTCCATGATCCCTCATCACTGACTCTGCTAGAAAGGGCAGCCAAGATTATAATGCATGGCTTGTAACCTGCAATGGACTTTTCTTCCAGAAATCTGTCAAATCCACTTTTAAAGGCATCTAGGCCAGATGCCATCACCACATTCTATGACAAGGAGTTCCACAGACTAGGCCGCATCTGGAGTACTGCGTACAGTTCTGGTTGGCACACATCAAAAAAGACATAGTGGAACTGGAAAAGGTGCAGAAGAGAGTGACTAAAATGATGTCTGGGCTGGTGCACCTCCCTTAGGCGTTTGGGGCTCTTTAGTCTAGAGAAAAGGTGCTTGAGGGGGGACATGATTGAGACATATAAAATTATGCAGAGGGTGAATAAGTGGATAGAGGGAAGCTCTTTTCCCTCTCATGCAATACTAGAACGAAGGGACATCCACTTGGATTGAGTGTTGGGAGGGTGAGAACAGACAAAAGGAAGGGTCATCCACTTAGATTGAGTGTTGGAAGGGTGAGAACAGACAAAAGAAATTATTTCTTTATCCAGCGTGTTGTTAATCTGCGGAACTCCTTGCCACAGGATGCCTTTAAAAGGGGATTGGACAGATTCCTGGAGGAAAAGTCCATCACAGGTTACAAGCCATGATGGGAATGTATAGTCTCCAGGCTTAAAAGGAAGGTACCTCAAAATGCCAGATGCAGGGGAGTGGTATCAGGAGACGGGTATCTATTTTTCTCCTGTGCTCTTCTTATATTCTTATGTAATTTGGCAGATGAACAGAAGCTGTCCAATAATTTGACAGACATCACTCAAAAGATGGTGGACTTCCTTCATTAAATAGAGCCTTGGAATCTATCTGGTATGGGTGCTTCAGCTGTGGATTTACGCACAGGCAGAAGGTTGGATGAAATGAACTATAGATTCCTTCTAGCTCCACAGCTGTATGATCTGGAGAGCCACATATTCTACACCTCCGCTACAAAAGGTTGCTGGCTTCTTTCAGCCAGACATACCCGCTTGACGTCAACAGTGTGTGCATATATGGTACATGTTAGGGAAACACTCATGGTAACATGAAACAGATCCTGGGAATGGTCTGTTCTTGTTGAGTTAACATCCGTTCTTCCTTCCAGCTTCGAAAACCTGGTCCTTTGTAATCTGTCATATCAACAGCCATGAATCCAGAGTGCTGTTTCCCAAACTGCTTGATGGCAGAGGCGTGTTCTTCTTCTGAGCTGAAACTGGAACACACTCACTCTTATAGCTAAACCCACCTTTGTTTCCAGAGCATACAGGTATGAAATGATATGTCTTGAGAGACCATCTTCCTGTACAGAACACTGATCTGGACATGCTTCCAAAGTAGAAGCAACAGTGCCATGTGACACCCCCTCCCCCCCATTTACTCCACGTATACGAGCAATTTATACAGCAACACAACTAGACACTTTGTGAAAGAAGGCAACTTGGCTGTATCTACATCATAATTATTATATAATCTCATTACCACCAGTATTTTGATATGGCAGAATAAATCTCTCCCGTCTTCTCTCTCAATCTTTCTGTAGCTGATTGGGAGAAAAGATGGCCAGACCTGTGAATCAAACAGAGACACGGCAGGCAGATTCTTCTATGTCCTGAATGCAGAACTCCAACCTAAGATTTTATTTATTTGTTTCTACACAAGATATGATGAATCCCACCCAGACACTGTTGGGAATAGCAGGTCCAAAGCAGCCTGCCACTGCAGACCTGCATTTCCAGACACAGCCCTGTTGAATCTTCCCAAAGAATCATTTGTTTTCCATCCAATTTCTCCAAATTGACAGTCTAAGCAAGAAACAAGGCACTCATTGGTTGTGTACCACAAAAATCCCAGGAATGATGCATCACAGTTGAAAGAGACAAAATAGCCCAATACTGGTGTAGATTTTACTGGCTCTTCTGGCGGATGCTTGAAAAACCTCAATCTATCATTGTGGGTTTTGTCAGTCCACTCTCCTCTCTGCACGCTGGTGTCTATTTTCAGAACATAGAGGGGGGAATTAAAAGCTCCTGTTGTCAAAATGAAGATTCAACGTTAACCTCCTTATTCCCCAAAAGCCAAGGCCAGTGGCCCTGAAACTTAATATCTCTCTGACAGTCTACAACCTTTTCCTCCCGCACCAGGTCACTACACGTGTAGGCACCAAGACTTGACTTATTCTAACATCAAGTCACGCCCCCCCTTTCTCCCCTGCTTGCGTTTTGTAATATTTTGCCTGAGGAAGGGATACAGAAGTCTTGAAAGCTTGTCTCCTTTTCTAGGTCTAAAATACACAATATCATAACCTGGATTTCCACATTTGTGAGCCAAGAGGCCTGCACCTGCCTTTGCCAACCGTAGCAGCCCTCTTTCTCCCTCTTTCTCTCCCCACCTGGCCCATTCCTCCCAATGGAAGTTCGGAAAAGTGTCATAACGCAGAGTCTAGCCGGATGGTTCCCGGGCGGTCGTGCCGGCGAGGGGCTGGACTTGCCTCGGAGCTGAGCGCCGCCAGTGTACCATCCTCCTCGCCCCCCCCCCGACCTGCGCAGGAGAAGGGGGTCGCGCCTTACTTTTCTGCAGTCCCCTCAAATGTGCGCATGCTGCGCAAGCGGCCCCCTCGCCACCAGCAGGAGCTGAAGCGGCCCTGCCGGCGCTGAAGGAAAGAAGGGAGGAGGAGGGAGTTCGGGTCCAGGTGCTTCGCCACCTCGCGCGGCGGCGGCGGCGGCGCCAGCAGCCTCTCCGCCTTCCCTGAACGCAGATCGGCCCGGCCAGAAGCGCCCAGCGCCCGCCACCGCCGCCTGGGTGTGGAAGAATCCCTCCAGGGCGGCGGTTGGAGGGGTGGGGGGGGAGAGGGAGAAGGGGTGGGCGGTGCTCTCCAACCGACGAGCTC